GTCATATAATTATGGAGGTTCTTCTTCTGATCATAGTCTGTATGTTACCCGATTACATATCAAATCCGTTGACTGAGCTTAGCATTTTCTTCAAAGATTTATGTTCATCTAAACTAAATAAAAATGCTTTACGGAGGTACGAGGATAACATACCAATTATCCTCTGCAAGTTAGAGAAGATATTTCTCCTGAGTTTTTTTAATTCTATGAAACATCTTCCAGTCCATCTACCTTACGAAGCTAGAGTTGGTGAATTAGTACAATATCGTTGGATATATCCTTTTGAAAGATAAATGTGTTAAGATTTTTTTTAAGTCTTCAATATTTTTGAATCAGTTGAGATAACATATTTTTATTAACTTCACAATGATTGTAATTATTTAATAGATATTTGAACAAGTTGAAGAAATATGTTAAGAATAAAGCACGACCAGAAGGATCAATATGTGAAGTATATTTGTCTCAAGAAATAACTCACTTTTGCTCATACTATTTCGAGCCCCATGTAAGGAGTACAAGAACAAAAATTGGTCGTAACATGGACTTCGATGTAGAAGAACAATCACATGCTACACTATCAGTATTTAGAAGGGAAGGAAAGCCTAGTGGCAAATGTGTTGAAAGATATCTCAACGATTTAGAAATAAATACAGCGAATTTGTATGTACTACTGAACTGTGAAGAAGTTAAGCTAATCTTAGAGTAAGTTCTTGCATAATGTTAATAATTAATTAGTAATGTTTATTTAAAATACTAAAGTATTATTTATCACCAGGTACTTCGTAAGCAATTTGCCTTTGACAGATTCGAGGGATATTGAGCAAGCTGTTGCAAATGAATTTCCAACATGGTTCAGATCATATATGAGCATATTTTTTTATAAATTTAAATCTTATTTATTATAAAAAATACTAATATTTAAAAATATTTTTAGGTATAAAACTCTAATAACAAATGTTTCGATAAATGTTTGTAAGCTATTAGCATGGGGTCCAATATGAAAAGTAAAAACTTAGCCAATATATTTAGTGAATGGGTTCAGATTTTATGCCAAATCGTGGAGTGAAGGAAGAAAAACTGAAAATTATGGAGTATGTGTTAGAGGGAACACTCATAAAGACGATGAGTGTGATTATTATGGTATTCTGAATGAGATTCTTGACTTGGAATACCCAAGCGAAGATGAGAACTTTGTATGCTTATTTAACTGTCAATGGTATAATCCAGTACAAAATAGAGGTACAAGGGTTCATCCTGCGTATGGTTTAGTAGAAGTTAAACATAGTAGAAGATACGGGAAGTTTGATCCATTTGTGTTAGCAAGTCAAGCTATTCAAGTTTATTTCAGCAAATATCCAGTGGCCGTAGAGACAAACAAGATTGGCTAGCTATCATAAAAATAAAAGTACAGGGAATAATTAATCAATAATACATTGTAGCAACTGCACATCAAGAGGATGAGATGTCAAGTTGTAGGCCTGTTAAAATTGAGGAGATGACAACTATAACCTCTACTATTGAAATGGAGTTAGAAGATGTGAATAATTCAACTAGTTCAGGCAAAGATGAGAACGAGGATGAAAGTGAAGATACCCTTGAGAGCAATGAAAATAGTTTTGATGATTCTGATTAGTTTTTGTAATTTAGAATTGTAGAATTTTAATATTTTGTAATATTTTAAATAGTACTTTTTGAATTATAAGAAATGAAATTGTTATTTGCCAACTTGTATTTATTAACAGATTTTTGTAATTCATTAACTGCTTTATTAATTACTTCTCGTAATTCATTACCTGCATTATTAATTATTTTCAATACTTTAGTAATTATTTTTTTTAATATTGCAGATGGCTTCAGGCGATGATCCTCCTCGTAAATCATTTGCCTCAAAGTTCCGCCAGAAGAAGATTACAACTAGCAGACCCACACAAGCTGAGGTAGGTGAGGGGCCTTTAGTTCCACCAGATCAACCTACACCACCAAGGCCACTACCTGCCAGGAGCCAGCAGCATTCCCCAGAGCAAGGTCAGGGCCAGGGACATTTAGATCCACCTCCTATTGTACCTCCATACTTCCCTGTCCACTTCCCTCCTCCCTCAATGAGTCCTAACTTCTCCTCTCCAGATCAGACACATGCTTCTCCATTCTATCCATATTACCCCCCACCATCATCACAGGCAGCTGGTCCATCAACTGGTCCCCACCCTCCTTACCCTTACCCATATTACTACCCCTATCCGGTGCAGCATGAACAGGGTGGACCATCAAGACCACTAGAGATTGGTGCTAGCGATCATGCAGCTGCAACAGATAAGCGTCAATACATTGAGCCTGAGGGCGATAAGTAAGTTTAATTTAAGTTATTAAGTTATTTTTATTTTGATAAATTACATGTTATTGACAAAAAAAAGTCACTTGCAGCTTTAATCCTTCAAGGCCATCTATACATATGATCCGGGATATAATAAAGAATAAATATGATGCTCCTTACTTATCTTGGAAGAAGATCCTAAAGCTAGTTAGAGATATGTGGTTTGGAGAATTTCAGGTATGTTTTTTTTTATATTTAATTTGTACTAATCTTTTTAATATTGCCTAATTTTTTACATAAAGAATTTAGGTGGTTGCCTGAGTACAGCACGAGGATCATATCAAATTTTGAGAGGAGAGGAGCGACCCGTCTCAGAGACAAGTTCACGAACATTAGAAAGTTCGGGCAGCATCCTAATTGGATTGGAGAGGGCGTTTGGGCTGATTTGAGTAGTGCTTGAGCGACCCCTGAGTTTATAAAAATGAAAGAGCAGAATAAACAGAACAAAGCCTCTAACTGTGGCGGTTTAGGAAGCTCTCTTCATACTGGTGGATCTGTACCTCATACGGAACATAGGCTTCGCCTGGTAAGTGTTTTGAATTAGTTTATTACATATATTTATGTTATTATAACTATTTCTTAAATTTTCAGAAAGAGCACCTTGGTCGGGAGCCAACACCACTAGAGTTGCATACAAGAACTCATCAACATCAAGCTAACCATCAGTGGATTGATGAGAAGTCTAAGAAGGCTCATGTGACTAAATTTTTTTAGAGTTTTAGAATAAAAATTTATTTTAATAAAACTAATTGTAACTTGCAGGATGATTTTGTACGAGCTAGAGAAAGTCAGCAGTCTACTGGCGAGGGATCATCTTCTGGATCGGCCCACATTTCTGAGTATCAAACATGGTCAGAAGTTGTTGGTGGAAGATAGAGGGGGAGGGTATATGGCATGGGTTCACAGGCTTATGCTATTGAGGGCAGTTCATACACCTCTGCATTTCATGATCCAAGTGGAGCTGAAGAATCTGTAAGCGACAGGGTTGCAGCGCTGACTAGGGAGATTGAAGAGATGAGAAGGGTTCAAAATGAAATGCAAGCAGAGCTTCAATCATATAGTGATGAAAATTAAAGGAAGAAGGAGCAAGAGGAGCATCCATCACCAGACAGTGAGGATACAGCTGAGGATTAGATCTTTAGAACTTGTAATTGTAACATTATTGAATTTAGAACTTGTTGAACTTGTTTTATGTTTGATTGTAAACTTGTTTATTTAATGTGGTTATGTATATAATTGTGATGAATATAGCGGCGTGTTGTCCAAAATATCTTATTATCTATTGTTATTTCTGCAGGTTTAGAATTTAGGGTGAACCTCCCTCAAATAGAAGGAATACTGTCAATTTTTTTTTCAGGTGCTACAGGTTTCCGGCGGCTAACCTGTGGTTTGGCCGCCGGTAACTACGATACCGGACGGCTTAAGCTATGCCGCTGGTAATTCCCTTAAACCGTTGGTACTATATCGGCGGTTACCGACGACTGCTGGTAGTTATCCGTTAAAAACCCGGCGGTGTATGCCGCTGGTACTACCGTCGGTCGTGACCGCCGGCGCCGTCGGAGAACCGCCGGTTACAAATCCGGTAGTCACCGGCAGCATAAGCCGCCGGAAAACCGCCGCATAAAATAACCACCGGTAATCAGCCGCCGGTAAAAGTTTCCTACGCCAATTATTCCATCGGTTCAAAAACCACCGATTAACTGCCGGTAAAATGTAAAACCTCCAGTTTTGCCTTCTTAACCACTGAAAAAAACTGACGGTGTTTAGCATTTTTCCTGTAGTGGAAAGCCAGATTACCTCCGATGTTGCAGCGGAGAGAGCGCGGTATTTGGCCTCTGTCAAAGACTTAGCGACGGTCACCTGCTTTTTGATCGACCAGGAGATGAGATTCGGACTGAGGTACATGCAGGTGCTGGAGATCGACTTGCGATCCGTGGTGTTGGATGCCCAATCGGCATCCGTATAAGCTTGAAGAGCTGTATCACCTGGAATGATGGGCAGACCAAAGGATTTGGTTCCATTGACATAACGTAGAATGCATTTGAGCTGACTGAAGTTATCATTAGTCAAATTCTGCATATGTTGGCAAGCTTGAATTGTAGCATACGTGATGTCCGGCCGAGTAATGGTTAGGTATTGGAGCGAGCCTGCAAGACGGAGATACATGGACAGATCGTGAAATGGTTCTGAATTGTGTTGAGTGTGTCTAGATGTCGGAGTGATAGGAGTCGGCACGCTTTGCTATTGGTGAAGCCTGTTTCCTGCAGTAGTTTCTCGGCATAGTGTTCTTGATGTAAGAAGAAGTCAGAGTCTGTTCGGGTGATCTGAATGCCCAAAATAGGTTGATTTGTCCTAGTTGCTTGAGAGCAAAGTGAGAGTGTAGGGCGGCCAGTAGATCGTTGATGGTCGTGGTGTTGTTTCCTGTGATCAGGATGTCAACCACATAAATTAGTATATAGATAGAAATGTTTTGATTGTTAGGGATTAGAAGAGAGGAATCAGAGCAGCTAAACCCAAAGCCTTGAGCTTGAAGGAACGTTGTGATTTTCTTGATCCACTGTCGTGGTGCTTGTTTGAGCCCATAAAGCGATTTGTGAAGCTTGCAGACCACAGTGGGTTGAGCTGGATCCTAAAATCTGAGAGGTTGAGTCATGAAGATGTCATCAGGTAGGTCGCCGTGAAGAAACACGTTCGAGACATCGTGTTGAAGAACAAGCCAGTTCTTGTTTACTGCCAGTGAGAGGAGCATACATATGGTTGTCATTTTGGCGACGGGACTAAATGTCTCCATATGATTCTCACCCAGAATTTGTTCATAGCCGAGAGCCACAAGTCTAGCGTTGTAGTGATCGACCTGTCCTGAGGGCAGAAGTTTCGTCTTGTAGGTCCATTTGCATCCAAGCACTCTTTTGTTCACAGGTTTGGGAACGAGCATCCATATCCTCTGTTTTTGTTGTGCTTGATATTCAGCTGTCATTACCACTTGCCAGTGAGGTAATTTCGATGCCTGATTGTATGTTGTCGGGGTGTTGGTTCTCTTTTCACTACTCAGCAGTGAGAGTATTTGGCGAGGTTTTGAGATGCCAGATTTGGAGCGGGTCTACATCGGATGTTGACTGAATTCGGTTGAGGGAGGACAATGTGTGTCGGGGTGAGGGGCTTGTTCAGCCCGAGGAGGTGAAGGAGGATGATTTGTGCACTGGGACGGAGTAGTGGAAGTTTGGATGCTATTTGGAGTCATAGAGTGTTGGATGACGGCAGAGGCAGGAACTAAGAGAAGTGGTGATGAGAGACTGTTTGTAGGCTGTGAAGCAGGAATGGTTGTTTGTTTAAGCGGGCGAAGAGGGAAGATCGATTCTTAAAATTCCATGTGTCTGGAGATATGAACTTTGTGGGAGTTCAAGTTATAGCACTTATATCCTTTGTAATGGGGAGAATAACCGATTAAAATGCACGGTTGCGAGCGGGGGGCGAGTTTACTGGTTGTATAGGGATGAAGCCAAGGATAACACAGAGTCCCGAAAGTTCATAGATGAGTGTAGTTCGGTGTTTCATTGAACAAAATTTGATGAGGAGATTGGTGAGATAGCGCGGATATAGGAAGGCGGTTAATCAGATAGTTTGCAATTGAGAATACATCTGCCCAGAATTGGTCTGGGAGGCTGGAAGCTATCAGCAGAGTCCTAGTAAGTTCTAGTAGATGTTGGTGTTTCCGCTCGGATAGGTCGTTCTGCTCTGGCGTATGAGGACAGCTTAGCTGCCGTGTGATGCCTTTGCTATGCAGGTAGTTAGCGAACTCTTTGCTTACAAACACTCCTCCTCCGTCCGATCTGAGGTGCTTCGGAGTATCCGAAAATTGATTATGTATGAAATTGCAGAAGAGCTTAAATTTTGCAAGAGTTTCGTGCTTATGATGCATAAAGTAAATCCAAGAAAAATGAGTAAAGTCATAAATGAAAACGACATAAAAACGAAATCCATTTAAAGAAGATTGAGTCGACGGACCCCAAACATCCTAGTGAACGAGTTCAAATGGGTGTGAGGTGGTCATCGTGCTCTTGTTGAATAAATGTTTATGGCTCTTGGCCATTTTACAGGATTCACAGTAAAAATTATAGAAAATTTGCTTAAAACCAGAAAGACATTTAGCTAATTTATTTAGAGTTTTGCTGTTTGGGTGGCCGAGACAGGCGTTCCAGGTAGCGGTGGATGTGGAGGAGACCTGGAGCGCAGTTGGTGGCTTGGTTGGAGCTAGTTGAATTTTTTAGATGCCGTCAATTAGGCGTCTATGAAGGAGAAGCTGTTGATCCTGTGAGTCCTTAATTTCAAAGCCATTAGCGTTGAAGGTGATCGAAACCAAATTGTCCAAAGTAAGTTTTGAAACGGAAAGAAGATTGTGTGTGAATGTAGGAATGTGTAATAAATTACAAAGATGAAGCTTACGCGACAAATCTGGCAGGGGAAGGATGCCTTGGCTGTAGTTTTGAATGGGTATTGTGTTATAGTTGGCTACTGAGACTGATTCTTGACCATTGTAGGTTGACAGAAATTGTATGTTCGATCCATCTGAAGTCATGTGTGTTGAAGCACCTAAGTCAAGAACCCATGATTGAGTTTTCGCCACATTTGGTTGAGCAAGAAGTGCCCGAGGGGCAGTGGTAGTTGGCTGAGCGTAGGAGAGATTGCAACGGTGCCAGCAATTATTTTCTGTGTGACCTTGCTTATTGCAAATTTGTCAGGTAGGGCGTGTGATGTTGGCAGCCGGATGGTAATTCGATTGCTCGGAGATGACCTGATTACGATTGCCATTGTTCATGTATTTGGTGGGTCGCTTAGAGTTCTTGTTTCTTGATTGGTTTTGAGACGTTGCGTAGAACGCCGCAATGGTCGTGAGAGGATCATTCTTGAGATCTTGATTCACGTGGATCTCCTCACTTCAGATGAGAGAATAGAGAGCATCCAGATCTGCCGGGATAGAGGATGCCCGTATGTAAGTTTTGAATGAATTGTAGGTCGCCGGAAGTCCATTTAGAATGTAGAGAACAATGTCTTCGGGGTCGATCTTGGTGCCGGAGGCCGCGATGTTGTCAACAATGTTCTTGACTTGAGATAAGTATTGTTGCATTGTTTGATTGTTCATCTGGATATGATGTAGTTCATTCTTTAGATGCAGCGCTCGTGACCTGCTAGACGACTGTAACCGGCGTTCAAGAACTGCCCATACTTCTTGTGTTGTAGTCGAAGTAATGACATAGGGTAGTACCACAGGGGAGATCATCGAGAAAAGAGTGGAGATGAGATTGTTGTCGATGAGACGCCAACGCGCGTGATCAGACGATGTCGGATCCGGCGGCGGAGATGTTCCTCTGGTGAGATGATCTGCATAGCCGTTGGCTGAGATGTGCTGAAAGATTTGAGTACGCCAGACCGCGTAATTATCGGAGGTTAACGAGTGAGGGATCATATTCTTGATGTTTGATATAATGAATTTGAGGGTCGTCGGAATGACGAGCTCCGACGAGTCGCCAGCGAGAGCGGAGGACGGGGTAGGGTGGGAGGAGATAGAACCTTAATCCCCCATTCCTAGCTCTTTGATACCATGAAGGAGATGAGAGAGTAGAGCGATCGAAGACGAGAAAGATAGGGCAAACAAGAAACAAGAAAATAGAGGGAAAAGTCTTATTCAAATATACAGAGCATTACACGCCTATATATACTAGTTAAGGTGATTAGAGTGTACAGTAAACAATGTAAACCGTGATCTTAATCTAATCCTTTTTCTAATATTTTAAATATTTTTAAAAGAGCTCATTCTTATCATAAAATTTATATTAGTGCTAGTTTCAAATTTTACCCTATAAAAAAAAAATCGGTTTGAATTGCCTCCCATATTACATTTGTTATAATTTGGAAGGAAAAAAAAAAAAAAGATCATTTGAAAGGGACACGTGTAGACGTTTCCACCGTGGTCATTGATACTTTTATTTGCACTGTTTGCCGATCAATTAATTGTTGGATACAAATTTATTTGTCATAATATTTGTGCCAACTAATACTACTAAAAAATAGGTTTTTGCAACACTTTTTCTACCATACAACAGCAGTTTTAACACCTATAATTTAATTTGCAACTGTTTCAGAACCGCTGCATATCCACTGTATTTGTTATTGCTGCAAATGGCTTCCGCAGCACTATTAAAACCGCTGCCATAGGGATAGCTTTAGCAGCGGTTATTTTAGCAGGGGTAATAATCGCTGCAAGTTTCTAGGATTGGATCTTTAACAGCGGTAATAACCGCTGCTATTTTATATCTAAAATTTGGGAAGTGATCTTTAGCAGCAGTAATAACCGCTGCAATTCTGGAAATAAAAAAATTTACAAGCATGCATTTGCACATCAAAACCAATTTTAAGCACATTATAATAATTTGTTGGTTACAGCAACTGAAAAATCAATTTCCAATAAAAAAGGTGCTTGAATTTCAGTTAACCACATTAATTGATATATAATTGTTCTCTCGAGAAATGCTTGAATCAAACACATCCCTAGGGTTGAAATGAACATAAACATACTAAACAAAAGGCAAAACCTAAAGAGAAACTACAAAGAAGGTTTTGTTAGAATGCAAGCATCGGAGTCGGCGTCCATGGGCGTAGGCCTTGGCATCGGCACGAGCGAAGTTCTTTAGGGTTGGTGATTTGCAAAAGAAATTTTCATTGTTGTTTCTTTTCTTCCATTTAAATTCTAATTTCAGGGCTAATATAAAGAAATAAGAAGAAGAATGAGAATAAGAGGGAAAAGAATATGAAGAAGAAGAATGAGACGAAGAAGAGGAAGGAGAGAAAGAGATTTACAGTGAGGAACGGCCTGCCGGCCGGGATTCACCTGAGGAGTTGCTCGCCCGAAGTCGCCTGAAGAGAAGAGCCGCGCCCGTCACTTGAGTTCGCTCCAGTTTGCATTTGTGGGAGATGAAAATGAAATATAGGAATTAGGGATCGGGTTTTTAAGTCCTCGGCGTGGTTTTTTGGGTGTTAATTTGACCGGTTAAAACCGGTGCCTAAGAATTGTTTTGGCAGCGGTTTCAAAACTGCTAGAAAAAAATGATGCGAAAACTGCTATTTTTTTGTAGTGATAAAGAAGTTTAGTAAGTTAGAGGATGAGAATAGGGAAAAATGTAAAGAAATCAACATAGATGAGAAGTTGATGAGAGCTAAATGAAATTTGTAAATAGTTAAAATGGCGTGTAGCCCAAAATATGCCTCTTAGGATTCATTTGGGTGACATTCTTACAATTTTTAAGTAGTTTTTATAATAAAAAGCTATTTTAAGAAGAATTAAGAAAGTTGTCACAAAACGAAGCATTAATCTCTTATTATAGAGTTAACATGATTACAACAAAGTCCACACCGAAAAAAAATTGAAGAATAGTATGTGATATGATAAGTACATATTATCTTAGAAACAAAAGTTGGACTAAAAGGTGAGCACATAGCTCTCTGCTCCTAATGCGGCTCTCGACCCCTGATGTGGCTTGAGGAATTCCTTAGCGAGTACTTTAGGCGAGTCATCGAGGACAAGAGCCTTAAATGAGTCTTAAAAAATGAGTGTTCAAGGTGAGTATGTGATAGTGCTTTCCTTCAAACAAGGAACAAGACACAAGGACAAACTTGACTTTAAAGTCAAGAACGGACATAATTGATCGATGGAGTCACAACTGTGAGATCCATAAGTCTATACTTCTTGTTGCATGGACTAGGACATCTACGAATGGTGGATGTTCATAGTTGAGAATAATTGCTAAGATAAATAAACCCTCCAAGAGTGAGTGCTCCTTAGGGCAAAGGCTTATTGAGGAGAGTCTTGTTAGGAATGAGAGCATCCTATAAAAAAATATTAAAAATTTGTGTTCTCATGTTGACCTCTTTTTGGCATCGGTAACTTGCATGGTCTTGTAACTTGAATTTCATAGGTCGACG